GAAAAATCACAGGATGGAAACTAGGTGACTCAGATTGAAAGTCTTATAACTCAAGAGACTGATATGTTGAGAAGGTCATCCCATATTTAACCTGAGGTCAGAATCTTGTTGGCACTCGGCTTGTTTCTTTCTTTTTTTTTTTTTTTTAAAGGGTTCATTTCTTTTTTTAAAAAATTTTTTTAAATGTATTTTATTGATTTTTTACAGAGAGGAAGGGAGAGGGATAGAGAGTTAGAAACATCAATGAGAAACATTGATCAGCTGTCTCCTGCACACCTCCTACTGGGGATGTGCCCGCAACCAAGGTACATGCCCTTGACCGGAATCGAACTTGGGACCCTTCAGTCCACAGGCTGGCGCTTTATCCACTGAGCCAAACCGGTTAGGGCTCAGCTTGTTTCTATTGCTTGCCCCTTCCCCCTGGCTGCCTGGATCACCTGAGAATCTGCATTTTACCTCACCGAAGGGCTCTATTTTGATCAACTGCTGAGACGTAGATGTAGGCCACAGTTAGCTAGAAATAGAAGATACAGAACATTCCACGCTTCCTGACCATTCCTGCTGGATGTCCATTCCTAGGCCCACACTGCAACCCAGTGTATGTTTTTCAAACTGCCCCAGATTAAGCTTTTATTAGCTCTTTGAAGACACTTAGTTTGCCTTGGACATTTCCAACAGTGACAGTATTGTATTTTTCTTATCCAGATAGCTTTCTTCTTGCTACTCAATGTTTCACAACCAAAAGGTACAGTAAATTTTTTCTTAATGCATGACAAAAATATTGAATTGCATAAGATTGCGGGTCTTGTTATTGCCAGAATTATGAAATGACCATGTGAAAGAATGTAGGGGGCTAGCAGCCTGTACCTAGTTAATCAGTATCCCTAATGCACATTCTCCTTAGCCTATAATCAAGTCACTGCCCCTTCCTTAATTATCTGGTCTTGCAAGACCTATTTACCTAAATACTCCCAATTTACAAGGGCCATAAACCAAGGATGTAACGGCTTAACTAGAGGGAGGTCACTGGCGCCATCCGGGTTAGGCATTTAGATACAATCTAAATTCCCCATTCTAACTGACTTAGGAAGGGCTGTGAAAGCCCACCCCAGAAGCCAGGTAGTTAGGAAACAAAGAAACTCAGGAATATATATAAGGAGAAATCTCATTGTATAAGTTGCTCAGCCTTTGGATCTTTTGAGTCCCCAGAGCCAGCAGTGATGCTTTGATTAAAGTCTTCTTTCCTGATATCTCTGACTGTTTCTTCCTTGACGCCAATTCCACAACAACCAGGGGTGTCTGAACAGTCAGCGAATTTACGGGACTAAGGAAGGGAATAAATCAGTAAAAACCCCCTAGTGTTACAGAAATACCGTGTACTACTAGGAAGAACTTAGACCAGTGGTCAGCAAACTGTGGCTCACGAGCCACATGCGGCTCTTTGGCCCCTAACCCTTAGGAGCACCCTAATTAAGTTAATAACAATGTACCTACCTATATAGTTTAGGATTAAAAAATTTGGCTCTCAAAAGAAATTTCAATCGTTGTACTGTTGATACTTGGCTCTGTTGACTAATGAGTTTGCCGAACACTGACTTAGACTAAAACTGTTGGCAATAAATTTGGGACTTGCTAGGCCCACATCCCCAGGGGTCTACCCACCAGAGAAAGCACCAAAGCCTATGCCCCTGAAAACCCGCC